TAATGCCAGGGGCTTAAGTGGAGAAGAAATGTTTTGAGAATGATGAGGGCAATGAATGTACAAATGCGCTTTACACAATTGATGAGTGTATGGATTGTGATAAGAGTTGTATGAGCCCCTAATAAAGTGATTAAAATTTAAAAAAATTCAACTTCCTTCATTATTTGCTCAGCATACCATTTGAATAAGTATGATGAGAGGATAAAACCTGGATGTACCCCTTTCCCGATTGCAATCCATGTAGTATTCTCTTGTTCTGTTTGCAGAACTGTCTCTTAATCATTTACAGGTGCTCTATGAGCATATGAAGTGTTCTGGAATTCCCATTCTTCTCAAGCAGTTTTTTATGGTCAACACAGCAGAGCCAATAAAACAATTGCATAGTCAATTAAACACAAGTAAACATCTTTCTAGTACTCTCTGCACTGTATTCAGTCCAGATCCATCTGACAGAAGCAGTGATATCTCTTGTTTCATGTCCTCTTCTGAATCTGGCCTGAACCTCTGGCAACTCCCTGTCAATGTCTTGCTGCAACCCTTGTTGAATGATCTTCAGCCAAAGTGTACTTGCATGTGACAGAAATGATATTGTTCTACAATTTCCACATTCTGTTCCATCACCTTTCTTTGTAATGTGTGCAAATACAAATTTCCTCTAATCAGTTGGCCAGGTAGTTATCGTCCAAATTTCTTGGCATAGTAGAGTGAGTGTTTCCAGTGCATCATCAGCTTGTTGAAGCAATTCAATTGGTACTCCATCAATTCCTGGACCTCTGTGTTTGGCTAATGCTTTCAGTGCAACTTGGACTTCATCCTTCAGTACCATTGGTTCTTGATCATATACTACCTCTTGAAATGGTTGAATGCCAATGTATGCCAACTAGTTCTTTCTGGCACCGCAACTCTGTATATTCTTTCCATCATCTTCTGATGTTCCTGCATCACAGTACCCTACAGTACCAGGTGTAAGTCAAAGGGAGCAAGCACACGCTGACAGCAAGGGTCCCACTGAACTGCCGCATGTGGACAGGAAGTGGGCTGGCATCGCGGGAAGGGGCGAAGCGAGCGTGCATGTTCACATACTGCGGTGCAGTTGAAAGCTCAATCCCAAGGAGGCAATTCTCTGAGGTTTTAGTGGGCGGTTTTCATATGCAGTTATAGACACAGCACTACTATATCTTCTAATTTTTCATGAGCAGCCAGAAACGGTAATTTTTAGTAAAATCCCTATTTGCTGAACTTGGTTCAAATGCTTAAAAATCTGAGTACTGTCAATTCCAACCTCAGCTTTATTAATCTACTGAAAAAGGAACAGCATTGAGCAGTGGGTTTGACTGAAAATGGAAAATTAGTAATCTGATTTTCTTCCCTGTTTTTGATGCTGCTGTACATGCAGCTTGTAGCATTTGTTACAATGGCACTCCATCTAGAACTATGAATGTTGAAAACAGATTTAGCTTACCGTATTTATTTAAAGTTGATGACTATTAGGCAGTAAAAACACATGGCTTTGATTCTATTTCAACATATCAGGTTGTTATAGTTTTTGTCAGCTGCAACAAAAATCTATGCTTCTTAATTTAGATTAAGAACTGATCATTCTGGTTCAATTCTCAAAGACTCTGCACTCTGCAGAAGGCTCAGAGGTGCCGAGGTCACTTCAAACCTGTTACACTGGTTTCTTGCAGTGGCATCTCAAGTTGATCTCTTAGAATCTTCATAAATTAAAATAAGAGCAAAGCTTTAAGCTGCTTCTAAGGGTAATGATAGCCAACCCTCTCTTTTATTGTTAAAGGCTGTACTTCTCAATCAGTATATAAACCCCGATTTACTCTACTACACATGTGAATTCCTAGAAAAAACACAAGCCCTGGTATCCTTTCCCCTGCTTCTTATTTTCCACCCCCAAGATGTGGTGCCTTGTGTAATACAGATATCCATTTACAGTTGAG